CCATTTTACGCTTTGCTTCATCAATTCGTCTCGTTATCTCTGTGACAATCTCATCAGCCCATGATGGGTCCGCAACGATCGCCTAGGGAGGATGTACCTCTAAAACGCCTACCAAAAATAGCGTCAGTTGAATATTTATTCTCACGTTAAACTTTAAAACAGAACCGTTGTATTTCTTACTTGGTTAAGGCCTCGCTTTTTCGCTTCAGCAAACTATGTCCCGTCTCGGCGCCTTTGAGCTTTGCTTTCATGATTCCCAGCGACTGCCGAGTCGGAAAGACGGCCTCCCGGTCCTACAGAGTTGTTAGAAGCAGTTTGAAAAGACTCTTTTCTAGTTTTTTGGAACGGTGAAATAATACAGAAGCACCAGACATGCTGAAAAGTGAAAGAGGAGTGGCAAAAAGCTATGCTGTGGTTAACAGACAATTGTCAAACAAGATGCTTGCTTGCTTATGAGTGTTGAACTGGTGCAGTGGGCCTGCTTGCTCGACTTGTTTTGGGTCGGGTAGTATTATGTCACATTGTCACTTGTAAGCCACCACAGGGGAAAACTTATCTGGTTAAGCGCATAATTCCCCACTTTAGGACATAAATTCGCGTATGGATAACTACCACCTGGTACGCAGCATTGGAGGAGGGATCAGCTGAATGCATGATCCTATTCAACTGGACCCTGACCTTAGCAGCACTATTTTTTTTAACCATGACAGCTTTACCCAACCTTTGAGAAGTCTTTCATCGCTCAACATTCGCGAAAGGTCTACTTTGAGGGCGTAGCACCAAAATGGCTGTTTCGGCTGAGATGGAGTCCACATCTCGTCTTCCAATTGTAGTGAGTACATCCTGCCCAGTCCGTTGGCAGGTTTGTTCACAGGATAATTCCGCTGACCAAGGCCAAGTCAAACGAGGATTTTATATACGAGCAAGACGTGGCAGGTGACCCAGCTAGCATCAAACCTTGGCTGGTCTACATTGATTTTAAATCTCGTCATGGGACACTTTCACAACAGAACTTTGTCATGGCTCGTGCATGCGCCCAGTTGCCGCGATCATACAAGCTCTGGAAAATGGTAAGGTCTGAAATGTATCATGAAGATAATGAACTAACCATCGCAGTATCTCGCCTTCCGTACCGAGCATGTGTCAAAATTGAACCCCGCTATCTTCGCATCCGAATACAATAAAGTCAACGCGTTATTTGAAAAGGCACTTATACTTCTCAATAAAATGCCTCGAATATGGGAGATGTATCTTCAGTTTCTTATCAAACAACCAGCAATCACTCTCGTAAGACGAACTTTCGACCGCGCGTTGAGGGCGCTACCAATCACGCAACATAATCGAATATGGGCCTTGTATGTACCATTCTCAAATGCTGCGTCGGGTGACACTGCAGTCAAAGTTTGGCGGCGATATATTCAGGTGCATCCTGAAGAGGCGGAAGATTTCATCGAACTTCTAATCGAATCGGGTTCGTATACCGAAGCTGCAATAAGCTATGTCAACCTCCTCAACAACGTCCGATTCGCGAGCAAGACTGGGAAAGGCCACTACGAACTTTGGAGTGAAATGGTGGATCTTCTTGTAGATCATGCCTCTGAGATTGAAGTGAATTATGAATCGGGTATCGACGTTGAAAGTATCATCAGAAGCGGAATCACTCGGTTTCCCGATCAGAGAGGCAAGCTTTGGGTGGGTCTAGCCACCTACTGGATCCGGAAAGGCAGCTTCGAGCGAGCACGAGATGCTTTCGAACAGGGCATAACAACCGTCATGACAGTCCGCGACTTTGCGTTAATATTCGAATCATACACCGAGTTCGAAGAGTCCATCATTAAAGCGCTTATGGAAAGCGCAGCGAATCGGACCGACATGGGAGTGGAAGATGAAGATGCAGACTTCGAATTGGATGTGCGAATGATGCGGTTCGAGCATCTAATGGACCGACGGCCATTTTTAGTGAACGATGTGCTACTTCGCCAGAATCCAAATCTTGTCTCAGAGTGGGAGAAACGAGTGGCTTTATGGGGGGACAATAAACAAGAAGTTGTGCGCACATATGCGGATGCTATTGCTTCTATCCACCCCAAACGAGCCGTTGGCTCGTTTTATAAACTTTGGGCGAGCTATGCACGCTTCTATGAACAAGGGGGGGATTTAAGAAACGCCCGCATAATCATGGAGAAAGCGGTCAAGGTTCCCTTTAAATCCGTTGCAGAGTTGGCTGACATGTGGATTGAATGGGCAGAAATGGAACTTCGGAATGAGAAGTTTGATGAAGCCGTTCGAATCATGTCAAAAGCTGTCCAAGCCCCCAAGCGATCCACAGTCGACTACTTTGACGAGGCACTCTCAGCGCAACAAAGAGTCCATAAGAGTTGGAAACTTTGGAGTTTCTACGTGGATCTCGTAGAAAGTGTCTCGACTTTGAGCGAAGTAAAACGAGTCTATGAACGCATTTTTGAACTTCGAATCGCAACACCACAAACGGTCGTCAACTACGCAACTCTTTTAGAGGAGCACAAGTATTACGAGGAGTCATTCAAGATTTATGAGCGGGGCTTAGACTTATTCAGCTACCCAGTCGCCTTCGAGCTCTGGAATCTGTACCTGACGAAAGCCGTAGATCGGAGGATAGGTATCGAGCGGCTTCGAGATCTCTTCGAGCAAGCTGTCGAAGACTGCCCCCCTAAGTTTGCCAAGACCATTTACTTGATGTATGGAAACTTGGAAGAGGAGCGGGGTCTTGCACGACATGCCATGCGGATATATGAGAGAGCCACGAGGGCAGTCGGGGATGAAGACCGTGCGGATATGTTCAATTTCTACATTACCAAATCTGCTTCCAATTTTGGTTTATCATCTACTCGGCCCATCTATGAAAGGGCCATTTCCGCATTGCCAGATACCGAAGCTAAGGAGATGTGCCTAAAGTTTGCGGATATGGAGAAGCGATTGGGCGAGATTGACAGAGCGCGTGCAATTTATGGACATGCGTCACAATTCTGCGACCCCCGAACAAATGCCGACTTTTGGGCGAGGTGGGAACAATTTGAGGTCCAACACGGGAACGAAGATACATTCAAGGAGATGCTCCGCATCAAGAGAAGCGTCCAAGCTCAGTACAATACCGATGTCAACTTCATTGCATCACAGGCCCTCGCTCGGAGTCAACGGGATTCAGATCATCGTGATCAACACACTGGTGCTACGGCCGAACCTGTCAGGCAATCTTCGGCAATGCATGGCTTTGTGGCAGCGAGTAGCGGGACTCCAGCGGGGGCAACTAATCAACAAGATTCACCTGCAAATCCAGATGCGATTGATATAGACGGCATCGATGATTGATATCCCGCGCGTGAGCTATCTCTTATGATCTTCGTTTTTCATCTCCACATCCCCTCTGAGCTTGCTTTCGGCTCTCACTTATCTGCTGTTTTTTTCTTTTTTTTTAGTCCCAGCCTTTTTTTTTCCTTTTTTGTCATAAGGCCCTCCCTCGTATCCTCTGCAGTCAATGGGAGGGCACGACGCTAGCAAGACCATTTCTGGGTGGTTTTGTATCCTGTCAGGATAATGATGGGGTTCGTCTAGCCGTTTAGCCACTTTCATTGAGGCTTGTACTGCGAAATTTGTGTTTTTGTTCGTGTTATTTGCCACGCTTCATCTCAGCGATTTTCGCGTGGTATTTTTCGGCATAGTTTCTGTCAATGTGACCGTCTCGGGAATTTGGCGTTGCGTATATGGAGCCTTTGCGTTTTTGAAATCGGCTCGGGGGAACCTTGGAGGCATCTGTTTAAATTTAGCATTTCTGTTGTTGCTGATGAGACGGGAGAGCTGGTGATTTCGGTGTTATTGTTTAGACATGGGGCAGTGGTATATTGTGCCCTTGGGTTATTCTGTGACTGGGCCGTCTGTATTTTGCTTAGATAGGTGATACGGACCCCATTCATCGCTGAGCCTTCGATCTTGTTTAACGTCTCCTGCAGCAGGTGATTCAGTCAACATCACCGGGATGTTATCTGTTTGCTGCGATTGGGACTCCCGATGCTGTTTGTCCTGGTTCATTACTGCTTCACGCTTAAGGCCGCTTGCATATTCTGGTGTGATGCGTTGAGCTGACTGCCTTGTATTTGGTTGCGTGACAAACTGTGACTTTGGAAGTGTCGAGGGCTTGTCAGTGTTGGCTTTATACCCCTATTCTGGCCAAGTACTGGGCAGATGATGAGCCGATCTAGTCAATTCTATCCCTACCCCGCAGACTGGCGTGCCTATTCTAATGGTTCGACCTATGGCAATCTCTCTACGCAGGTTGCAACATGGTGTAGCGTGGCCACCCTTGATGCATTGGCCAGGCCTACCCATCCCTGACGTCATGGCTTTTGTCACGGCTGTAATTGGCTGGCATGGCATTTCAACGATGCCTGGTGTTATAACACGCCTTATATTTACTTCCCCTTGATAGAGGCTGGGGGGGTCGGCGTCCGTGCCCCGTGCAATATGCTGGGGAGAATGGCTGGTATGATGTTTGCGGCAGATTTGATTCCTAGCCAGTATCTTTTTGATCACTGATATGGCCTCAAGTGCTGTCCCCCGTCTTACCACAGGCGGGCAGACTCACTGGGAAACCCCCCCTTATTTCACAAATAAGGGAAAAAGGAAAGGAACAATGAAACTGGAAGTGAGTGTGCTTGTTGTACATGCATCCGCCTACCCTAGACATTGTGGCATGACGGATTGCTTAGGCGACCCACCACTAAAGGGGACGACCCCCCAAGCAACCAAAACTGGAGCCCCGACCGCAAGCAATATTCGAAAAGTCGATTTAATCCGCAACCCCAGCAGACTAAGCTAGTATCACGCACATGTACATTTAACCCAACCCTGTCTCAAGAAGGGCAAACCCTTTTATGCTGCTACACATCGGCCGTCGACCGAGCTTCTGGCCGGGGATGAGCAAGAGAAAGCTCCACCAGTTTCTTTACGACAACTTCCCTGCCAAAATGAGACCCGTTATACAGCTCAATACGCAAGAGGACCGACTTCGACGGCTCCTCCTGGACGTATCACAATCCATCAACGACTCCAAACTTACGATACAACCCGTGATTGTTCGCTGGGCGGGAGGTTGGGTTCGGGACAAGCTTCTAGGTATCGAATCTCATGATATAGATGTTGCCATAAATGCGATGACCGGATTTGACTTTGCACAAAGAATGCGTGAGTACTGCAGTACAGAAAAGGCAAGCAGAATACACGCAATCAAACCCGATGATATTGGCAATCTTCACAACATCTCAAAGAACCCAGACAAATCGAAGCACCTAGAGACTGCCATGGTCCGTATTTTCGGCCTCGACTTGGATCTAGTAAACCTGAGAAAAGAGACATACGCAGAGGACAGTCGCAATCCGACCGTTGAATTTGGCACAGCCGAAGAAGATGCACTAAGACGGGATGCGACCATAAACGCGTTCTTCTACAACATACACACCGACGAGATAGAGGATTTTACGGGTGGGATGCGTGATTTGACGGCTAAAGTCTTGCGGACGCCACTGAACCCTCTGGAAACATTCAAAGACGATCCACTCCGCGTCTTACGTCTGGTGCGTTTCGCAAGTCGGCTGGGGTTCTCAATCGAGGAGGAAACCAGGAAGGTTATGTCACATCCCGAGGTCTTGGATGCCCTGCAGGTGAAAATCAGCCGAGAAAGGGTTGGTACAGAGCTCGAAAAAATGTTGAAAGGTAGGCAAAGGGCTTTACTCACTGTAAGCCCCCCTCCCCGGCCCTCAACTAGGCTTTCGGTGCGAGGACATAGTGTCCGCCATGCCACGTCTGATATGCACCTCCGGAGAAGTAACGAAATCACTGACATGAGACCGAAGGAAATAACCCACGGTCTGCCCTGGAGCTCATAGACCAACTATGCCTGTATCACGCAGTTTTTACAGATTTCTCTTCAAAATCCACAACAAGACCAGACTCTTCGCGATGGCACGTTGCCTACAAATGCCTTGATAGCCTCGTACGAAGACGGAGCCCAGGCTCTCTCGGCGAGCTTCTAATTAGGCCCGGTGAAGCCAACTATGTAGCCTGGATTCTGGCCGCCCTCAGCCCCTGGATGGTTGTAGAACCCCCGCTCAACAACGTTCGGAAGGCAAATGTCTTACCTCCGCCAGCTGTGGCTGCTCGTGAGGGGTTCAAGGCGCCTAATAAACTTGTGGACATAATGACGGGCAGCTACCGGAATCGACGAGAAATCATACGCATGAAAACGTCATTGTGTAATGAGGAAGGGGCAGTTCTCGCAAGAGATACGCTGGGAATGGCCATTCGTAGATGGGACTCTTATGGAGGACCATGGACTCTCCAGGTACTGAGCGCTCTGCTTGTAGAGGCTATGGAAAGCCAGGATGCGTGGACAGAACTTGATACAGGTGAGCATAGTCGTGGGGCAAGCTCTAATCATTGACACGTACACACTAACACTGATTTGTGTCAATAGAAAAGGATAATTTCATGACTGGGTGGCAGAAATTCCTCGATCTAATCATTGAGCTTGATGTATACGATGCTCCAGCCATAAAGAGGCTTCTTGACGGCCGCTCTCTAGCTATGGCTCTTGGCGTGAAGCCTGGAAAATGGACGGGTAAAGCTCTTGATTTATGCCTAGCGTGGCAATTTCGGAATCCTCAGGAGACAGACCCAAGGGGCGCTATCGAAGAGATTCAACGACAGCGTGATGAGCTGGGTGTCCCTCGATAGAGATAATGACTAAGCGCCAATGGGTAACGATATAACTACAGTGAGAAATGATGTGAACAGTAGCATAGATGCAGTGAACGTCGGCCGTTGGCGAATGCGCGCTATTACGAAAATCGCCTGGTACGCAAATATGACTGTGCATACAGTTGGACTTTGTAGTTGCGGTTTCTGCTGAAACGGGTCATGCATGTCCCGGCCCAAAGATGTCTGGGCGTGATGTTGACGGACATCGGTCAAGTTCGATTCCGCATATTTGAGCATTGATAAATTTCCCAAGGCAACACGGTCTAAAACGAGAAGCTAGTCACCGGGATATTTCGCATTCGTCGAAGAGGGATAACAAGTCTTCTGAACTTCTGAAAGCTACCTACCTAGGTAGGTATGCATGATGGGAAGTGAGGGAGGGGCTCCAGTGGCAGGCCGCTCCACAACCGCAATGTGGAAGCACGGATCACCCACCCCACCCTCACAGTCCTCTCGTGCACCTGCAAAGCTGACCTCACATCTCTGTTTTAAACCATTGTCTTCTCGCTTATTTGCACTTGATTTGCAATGGACGAAGTATGCCTAGGAAAAGAAAACATAGCTCGATTGAAAGAGCTCGGATTTGAAAAATTGGCTGCTGTTGTGCTACTGCCCAGCGTCAGGCTTGAGGCCGCCACAGTTGCTCCGTGTGATGTGAGCATCTTGGCTCAGACGACGATAGTTCAAGCAGTGAAGAATTTCCCCAAAGTTTTCAGTAACGAGGTATAGCTCAAGGACCTAACGCTTCACAGGAACATTAGTTTACTAATACATGGATGGCACCAGGCCCGCCTTGACATGCTACTACAAATTTTTGCCTGCCTTGTTCTGCAGCCAGCAACCGCCAAATGCAGCTCCGGAGAAGCGGACATTGGTGTTCATGACATTGAAAGCATCCCACTAGATATGGGCCAACCTGAAAGCCTAAATTTCTCTATGAACAGTTCTGACTCGCTGCTCTATGACAACCTTACTCAGACTTTGGCATCGCAGGTCCTATGGAACAGAGGTACACTACGTGAGTACGATGGGGAATTCAGTTTTGACTATCAATGCTAGTCGTCTATATCTTGCTGATAAATCTATACAAAAAGACAAACAATACACCGCCATCCAAGCTGAAGCTGCGCTGGCTTCACTAGTCGTGCTGCTGCATAGGTTGAAGAATCTTAGACTTCCCACTTCTACTCTGGTAGCTGTCACAGCTTATGCAGACCCTGGCGATTTATGGACAACCGAAACTGCGGCTCGTCTCGCGCAAAGAATTCTATCTTTACAACTTTCCGGACAGGGACTTACCAACTTTATCATCGGGCCTGTTTTAAACCAACATGTCCGACTAATTCTTTCGTCACCAACTGGTGGTGACCCTTCAGCCAATCCCAGAGCGTCCGGATCTGTAGCTGCGTTGGATTTAGCAGAGTATGAGAATGCTGCCGCGGTGCTGAATTGGGCCATCGAGATGACCGAGGTCTGCGGCCTTTGCTCTTTTTGATCTCGTCGCACCCTGCACTGCTGTTGTTTAAGTCGCTGACAAGTTCAATCATACAAGGGGCCTGATATCGGAAAACACTGGCATCGCTTCGTGCCAGCACTGATTAACTTGGCGGAAAGCCACGAAATATCCGCTAGAGAAAGAGGGCTCAAGGCGATTATCTCGTTCCTGGCAAAATGCCCATCATCCGCGATATATACCACCGGAATGGACCAGCTTTTTGAGCGCACGATCCTACCCACGTTACTTCTTCTGCCAACTGTGACGCCAGAAAAGGACTCGTTGACTCTGTTAAAGCTGGGATACACGGCCGCGCTGCAGCTGGCAACCACTAGTGGAGATTCTCATAACGCCAATAGACGGCGCATTTTAGATCTGATAGTCCGTGATGGCATACTAGAAGGGTTCCGCCATGCGGCGGACTATATATCTGTAGTCGACGTCTTGATGCAATCTGTAGCAAAAGTGGTTTCTTGCCTCGGAATATTCTCCATTAAACACCTGAAAGTAAGTCTCACAATATTCCCTACAACATCCAATGCCTCTGACAACGACGATTTCTTACAGGACCTTTTGGACGTCATTGAATCTGTCATGTGTGATCCGTTTGGTGCAGACCACCCTGGAGTGTTAACATCCGCGGCCGAAGCCCTAATAGTTATCATAACCAACTGCTGGCCCAGAATATCCAACACAAAACGTGTGGAGCAAATACTTCGGATTCTTAGCGTCTGTTGGCTAAACATGAACAATGAGGCCTCTCAGTCAACCCATGAGGGGAGCATGCCTCTTTTCAAGTCCCGCATCCTTCAAGCGGCAGCGTTGGTACGATTCTTCGCACAGAATAATGCATCGGAGACAAATGGAACTTTAAGAGCCGCATTTTCACGTGATCGCCGAGTACAAGACATTTTAATGCAATAGCAGTATGATTATGCTATCAACTAGCATGTCCTCGAGTGCTCTTGTTCACAGCTCTGTGCCTAAAACACCGAAATCAGACCCCGGAGGTTATCCATCAATCCAATGGCTGTTGCTTGAAAAATGATTTTCCATGAAGCCACTTCCTGTAAGCTTTATATCTCTTCTTGGTCGAGTCTTCTTCTGTTACGGTAAGCGGATTCTCACCTACTTTCAGAAGTTCACCATAGACATTCACTTCCTCATCTATTCCAATGACCATGAGGCCTTGTTCACGCCAACTGCCGTTGATATATTCTTTATATTCGGACGAATCAACACCCGCAGGCGTGTCGTTCGACACAACAAGCGGAAGGTTCTGTGGGTGGCGTATGTATCGATCATAGTCCTCCGCCTCCTGTTCTCTTACTGATGGGTTTAGGGAGTCATGGACAGCTTTCGTGAACGTCCATTGGGCAGCCTTAGATTTTTCAAGGGCACTCGGCTTCATCTTCTCACGTTTTGGCCGACCGTCGTCGTTGCTTCCGGGCATGGAACCTTGCTCAGCAGCCTTCTCCTGTACGGGCTGAAGCCAGCGCTGGAAGGACATACCCCTCGCTGCCGTTCTTCCAGATTTGACTGAAGAAGTCACATCTTCAAACTGCTGGATCTGGGAAGACGTCAACGGGCTGTGGACACCTTCCCTTTTCATCTTGCGCTTGTCAGAATCTGTATCAGTCTCAGCCCGTACTCGGAAAGGGCTGAGGTCATAGCGGCCGTCTTGAGTTGACTTCAGAGGAATGTATTTTATGGTAGAGTTCATCTTGTAGGCGAGCATTTTTGGAAAGGACGAGAGTGATGCTGGTCTGTAATACTCCAGCCAATAGTCATCGACTGCCTCAACAGGAAGGCTTGCAACACAGGCTGGAAGTTTCGCAAGCCTCGGGATTGTCCTCTCACGCAAGTGAGATGGAGTGTACCAGTTGATGTAATTGCAAGGTTTCATGACTGACCAATCTCGTGGTTTTGTATGGTGTAGATAGTAGTCTGTAGTCAGTTCCCATAACAAAGGCTGGCTATGAGAGAAGACGTAATTTCCCAGGAACAAATTGTACGCTTCTTGACGCTGGCTATCCAGAAACGAGTTGTTATAGTAACGCTTAAAACTTTCAATCATATCCCGCGAGTGACTCGTCCACTGGTTTATCTTTCGGTAAGTTTCCATGGTGTTCACGAGCTGAGAACCACCATACTGGACTGCAATCGTATCGCCATGGTCATGCCACATATGTGTAAAAAGGTTGACTGCGTCTGTATCGTAATTGACAGTCGTATCCTTTAGAATCCCCAGGGCATGAAGTTGATACCCCAATGCACGCTTTCCTATGACGAACTGAGCTGCATTGGTTCTGTCAAGACAGTCAATACAATTTGTTCTCGCCACTCCATTTTGAGCCGACATTGGGCTAATTTGACCGTCGCCATTTTGGAAGAAACCCGTCGTGGAGACTACTGAGTCTGCAATAAGTTCCAAGTTACCAATCACATCCCCACCCCGAACTTTCGACGCGCGGCTCATGTCCCAAGCCTTATGAATGATCTGTTTCCCCGGAGGAAGAAATTGGTTAAGGTAGTTGATGGAATTAGTATATTCTTCTAGGAGCTTGGATTCTCTCGGTTGGCGTTCCTTGGATTTAATTAGGTTGACGACATATACAGGGGCGCCGTATCGACGGAATAAGTCATCAAAGTGCAACGCGGCAGCACCATAAAAAGGATCCACGAGATTGAGTTCTATGGGTGGTTTTGGTGTCACCCCTGTGCTGTCCTGGGTCCAGTAGAGAGGAATACTACCACGATGTTGAACATAGGAAGTATATTGCGGACTACAGTACAGCCGCGGTCCAGGAGAATGGAACGATGTCGTGAGAGACTCGGAAACTATCTGTTCAGTTTCTACATCGTTGGCGACGTAGCCCTAGATGTTGAACGTTAAGTATCATGCCACTTTGGGAAGTTGGGAATGGGTCAAGGCAACATACTAAGTCATTTGCACCACGTTTAAGAAACCGAGCCCCTGCAAAGTATCTCGATCGCCTCGCAATGACAGTAATGTGGGCAGTTCGGCCATAGATGGAGAGGGCTTTATAGCGTTAGCATGGCAATAACAAGTAGAACGAGAGAAAGGGATGGCAATGGCTCACCTGCTTGGTCAACATATCCATGTATGATTGGTCGACACCAATCATAGGCAGCTTGAAGCACCTTTACCGCAGGTTTGAGCAGGTAAGAATTCCAGATGAACATGGTATTGGGATCGTCATCGGAAGACGGCATCACACCCTTATTCAGAGCCGACCTTTCTCTCATAATATTGTGCTGAAGTGTCCTCGTAATGTCGTAAGAGTAGCTATAGTAGAACGACTTAGTTAAGTCCAGGTTGTTCAAAATGCTGAGAAACCTCTGCTCCTCCGTGTTACGGGAATCTGCCTTCGATTTCCCGGGAGTCAAAGCAATCAGCTCCGTACCCTCAACTTGATATATATAGTGACCGCCTACCATGGCCACGGTACTCTTCTTAGTGATGAAGAGCATGTAATACGGTCCTGTGAATTTGATGAATCCAATAATTCCCCAACTAGTACACCGCAGTTTAATGCCGCCTGTACCCCTGTTTCCATCATCGATCATGTCCAAGAGCTGGTTTATTTCTTTCAGACTGTAGGAAATTTTGTCATCCGTCATGTTGAGTTCTGCACCCTCAGTAGTCCGGTCGATTTTGAGAATACGATATCGTTTCTCGCTGACGTCGACGCCAACAACATAGTAGCGGCTTGCCGTCTCGTAGAGGTTGAATTTGTGCATCTTATGCGCAAAATGGGAGAAAACTCGTCCACTTTCAGAATTGTTACCGGCTGTAACCGGGACAAAGTCTGGGGAGATTCGGCTAGATGCCCTCCCGACGGGCTGTGGTGCGGCAGGTTGGTCATCGTTGTCCAATTCGATATGTATTCTGTCTTGTTGCTCGCCATTACCAGTGAACAGGTCTGTTTCTTCGCTGTTCTGCAACTGTGGGAAGGCGGGGGACTTCTGGTGTCGGTCACCAGCTACCGGCAGAGATGAGCCGGTGCTCCCCTCCCCAGCCTTGCGGCTAGACATCGTTGATTTCTAGATACAGCTCATCTCCTGGACGTGTACGTCCTAGTTGCGCAGTTGTGGTTGTGTTCAATAAAGTGTACAAAAATGCATCCTGGCCCAAAGAAACTTCCAGGGATATCAGACGTATCAGACTAAATACAGATCAGTATCGAAAGTATTTCGACCGGAAATGGCTGGTTGCTTTGGTCGGGAAGGACTTAAGCAGAGGGTCAAGTGCGAAGTGATGTCAAGCCAGGGAATGTATGGCGGTTTAAGTACTCAGGTACTAGGTACTTAAGTACCTATAGGTAAGTTATAGTAGGTGGCAGCCAACCAGTTGACCTTAGAAGCCAGTTAGTCTAGTGGTACCCACCCCACCAGACGGGCGATTGGCAGTTGACAAGGTCATTCGGGCAATGTTCAATGTTGTCTAATATAATAGACGCCACCGACGATCCCTTTGACTGTGTTATGAAGGTGCGTTGGATGTATTGAAGTGGGGTTCTGGCTAATAAGAAGCCTTATACTTAAAGGTACATTATATAATTAGAAATAATAGGATAATAAAAGTACCTATTAATTAAGGTATACTTAAGGTTACTTTATTTATATGTATTTAAGAGGGCTTGAGGCTATGTGTTAAGGTAGCTTGGATGTACTGAGCAACAGTGGGGCTACCTCTACGCGCGCGGCCCTGTTTCTGGTGACAGCACAACTATTACAAGACAGGTCCTAAATTGTCACCAGCTATTAGAAGTCTTATGTATTGAGTAGAAAATTCTGATTAGCTAGCTGTCTTGTGATAGATGATAGTCAGAGGACAGTCACCAGAAAACCCCTTGGCGCGCTATGGTGGCTTCCAAGGTTGGCTGCCACCTAGGTAGGTACCTAGTAGGCATGGCACTTGAGGAACATATACCTACATGTGTAAGTACTTGGCCTGCTCGACAAAGTACGAGCTCGGGCTGAGGGCCGAGTATCAACGTACGCAATTTGAATTCACAATAGCTCTCACTTTGAGGAAACGTTACTACGATTTGTGCCCCCCTGGCGTTTGTTATGTTGAAACTGATAGGTATCAACCGGCTAGCAAAGCCCGTGCATCTTCTTCCCGGTATCACAGTTCGAGCTGTTGGGAATAACGAACCGCCTAAGGCCACCTAGGTAGGTAGGAGGGCTTTGAAGCCTTGTTGTGTACCGGCCACTTAGGTTGATTGGGCGTCTTGATCTAGTCTAAAATCTTCGTGATATGAGTAATATCGGCGGCTCAGTGGCCTGCGGATAGCTATGTGTTATCATTTTCTTTGGTCACTTTCTCCGTCGCCCACACCATCAGCAAATTCATCAGCTTGCTCTGTGGTTTCCTCCTGTTCATTCTCTCCATCTCCACCCTCGCTTTGGACCTTATCTGTACTGGACCTGGTTCCAAGGTCCTCTGAGGCAAGGTCGCTTCGCAACTCTGGTAGGAAGCGATCCACCCGCTTCCACGTCTCGTCCCACAGCGTCTGTTTGGATGCATCTTGTGATGGAGGGACAAGATACCCACTGCTCGCCATGAACAATACGACATTCTTCAAATTCTCTCTCACTGCTTCCTCCTGTACATCTCATTAGCACTAGTACGGCCTAAGTGGAACGAGTGAGTAATAAACTCACCAAGCTGTCACCTTGACCACTGTTCATAAGACGATCCATTATGTCAATAATTTTAACCCACAGGTCAAGCATCCCATCCCATCCAGAAAGCAGTACTAAGTATTGCAAAAAAACTTTGCAAAGAAGCGATGCGCACTGCACTCGCATCTCGCTCATGCCATCTCTGTCTGAGGAAAAGACTTCTGGCTTGAGAAGTATTTGTATCAAAGGGAACAATACCCTACCGAAAATGGCCGTCCATTCCTTTGCGTCCGTAAGCGTTACCTCTGGGGACAGAAGCGAGCGTTGCATGGCAGAGAATGCGAGTTGCCGGATGTCTCTAGAAGGATTGGTACATTGTGTTGTTAGTGTTTGGAAAATTGGAAGCCAATATGCTGACCAAGCTGGCAGTTTGTTAGTTGTGGTACAACATATACACATAATGGAGGTTCTGGTGCCTACCCTCACTCGTCTCGAGGCGCGATTGCTGCATCAGGTTGGGGACACGAGCAGCCATGTGTTGCAACGTAAGAATGGCCCTGCACCCTCTCTCAACACTTTGACTGTCACTATTATTAGGTTAGCACGATGTCGATGCAATGAGTCCCGTGTATTTGGGGACTAGATGCTTACGGTTTGAAAGGCTTCTGTAATCTGCGCTGACTTGGTACTGAATTCAACTCAGACGGCTCAGTGGGAGCTGCAGCAGATGCAAAGAAGTTTAAAAGAGCGATAGCAGCTTCATAGTTGTCTGCAACAATAGCCGGTGGATTCCCAGTCGCACCGTTCTCCAAGATTGCAAGTACAGACGTAGCACAGTCCGGATTTCCTGCTAAAATGCGAAGAATAGCCCAAAAATCAGGAGACTTCATAATTTCGCTCCGAAGTGGACCAGGCTCTTCTGTGCAAGCGGCAAGCCCACTCAGAGTAGTATCGGAAGACTTTGCTATGACTTGCTGTGGCAAATTGGCAATCGTATGGAGCAAGGAGTGTACCTTGACAAAGTCATGGTCCTGATCTAGGGCTTTAGCAAAGGAACTACGGAACGACATGGCGGATCAACATACATAACTGCTCTTGAGAATGGATAGGGCGTGGAATATTGCCCGGGACAAGGTAATAGGATGCCACTGCGCGGGATCCCGTAGCAATCCCAGCACGACATCGAACACCGTCTTGCCCATGAGCTTGATGCATTCATCGGTCCGAACGGCTAATATTGTACAAAATTCCAAGATGTAAGCGACGCTAGGATCATATTTTGGCTGCACGGCAGCCTGAACCTGAGTATTTGCTGACACGGGCCCGGTGGAATCTTGCTTGACTGTAATGACTGCCGCTTGATCGTCCTCAGGAATCTGTTCAAGAAGCATCTGCACCAGTTCTGCGGCTATAGGAGCAGAGAGATTGCTGCTGATGTCAGAGCATATGGACACTTCAATAAAGGAGTATAGTAACTTACAATATATTTTGAAAAATTTGCTCCATATTGCACGACTTAATGCAATCGACAGTGCACAATGTACTCTCTAGTTCCTCTTCTGACGGCTCCGGGGGGTCGTCAGCCGCATAGCTGGATATGTAAGAAGTGAAAGCGCTGAAGAACCCCGTTTCAGCAGTTCGCGTGGCCCGGTCTATGATCTGGGATGGCATTTGCAGAGGAATTCCCTGTATCGTTAACGAGAATTTACTCGCGGCGGCGAATGATGGTATTAGTGAGTTGACAAAAAGGTTCACCCAAATTTGTACAACCTTCGCCACGTTAGTCCAAATTATACGGCTGCACGTCATTGCTGAAAGAGACTTACTTGCTTCCATCCTTGCTGAATCAGCGCCTCGTTCCCAGTAATCACACGAAACAAAACGAGTGTGGCTAGCTGTGCACGGAAGTCCCGGCCAAGCTTGACGGCTAGCTCACTGACCATCACACTCCCATCTCCAACTTGAATCTCTGTGTTCAAGGACGTGTTGAAAGTATTGGCTGTGGCAAGTGTACTCATGTGGCTGAGACAGTATATTATCTGGTCCAGGGCATCAGAGTTTTTGTACTTGGCTGCGATACGGGCACATTCATCGAAGCCAGTGACGATTCTAGCGAAAACCGCATCGTCAGTCGCAGACATGAAAACATACGAAAGGGTTGAAACAATTGGCTTCCATGTAGCAGCAAACATATCAGCATCGTATATGTTCGTATTGCAGATAACCAGATCTCCCACCGTTTCGGTTTTCAGTAAGAGTTCCCTCCATGCGTAGTCGAACGCATGCTTGTTATCATGCTCGTCAGGCAGGATGATTTCATCAGACTTGATCGAGTTAAAAATTGCTTGAAGAAACTCTACGGCGAAGTCTTTTCCATCATTTGTACCACGAAGATTTCTTGAAAAGTCCTCAAAGGTCATTCTTTTGGCGGATTTGAGATTTGGGTTGTGCTGGTCGGTATTCAAGATGATTATCGCGTAACTCAATATGAACACAGCGTCTTTGTTGGCTACATCATTAGGCGTGTCGTCCGCGCAATACTTCTCCGAAAAGCATTCAACTATTGACGCGATAAGCGGTGCTTCACCAGGCAGCCTGAATGTTTCTAGAAGAACTCTCAGTGCCTCATCTACCCGCTTGCCAGAAAAGTCGAAGAGATCTAGGAACGCTTTCAGAATTGCTTCATTTCCCTTCTTCGAAAGATAGTCACCTAAGACTGATTTAGAAACCCGTGAAGTTCCCTTGAGGAATTTCGCCACCTCCGTAGGATTATTGGCATCGGATATGATTCCCTGAGCCTCCAAGTAGCCAAGCCCCAGCTTCGGTTTCTCATTGAACTTGCTAGTCCCTTTGACAATGATTCTTTTCTTTCGTCTCTGCTCCCGAAGATGCGATGGTTGTGGAAACCCTGCATTAATCGGATCATCTTCCAGTCTTTCGGCCAAAAATTGGATATAACGAAGCAGGGCGTCGAGGCATAGCGGCGGGACACTAGTTGTGCTCCATGTTGCTGAATCAGGCAGCGCATTTCGCGAGAGTAAACCGATAATATCTTCGCACAGATCCGCTCTATCCACATCGCAGTCGTAGTTCACGAACAGCTCGGCAACAAACGTTGGCATTCGGGACAGAACACCTATGGTCTCGACCATCGCTTGCCTTGCATCAGGCTTGCGAGCACCTCCTTCTAAACCAAGCTTCTGCCTATCCTTCACGGAAACTGGAGTAGCGCGGCCACTACTAGCCTGTGAGGGCGGAGGTTTGACAAGCTTTGGTGTCTCCGGTATCCCAATGTACAGTGAAGGATCAATGCCTGGCTCTCGCGGAATCTGGACTGTAGGGTGCAAGCATGCAACTAAGTAGGATAAATACAGTTCTTGTTGTAACTTCAGCACCCCTCTGCATGTAGCCAGCAATGTACCCGTGACAATCAATGACTCCTGTAGTACAGCCATGTTGTCAGATCTGACGAGTTGAAAGAGATAGCAGCACAGTCGATCCTCTGCAATCGTCGCCAGTGCCGGGTGTCGGGCAATGAACGGCCCTGAAACTTCCAAAGCTACATGCAGAATTCGCATTGCCATCACTCTCATTGTGTCTGTGTGTTGTCGATCATTCGGATCAAGGAAGTTAACAAGAACTCGAAAAAGTTCTCGAACAGAGGGGAAGGAATAAGGTTTGAGATCTACAGACTCCGTTTCTTCAGTTCGTTCGCTTGAGGTATCTTTGACACTCTGAGATGCAGGCGCCGCGTCTCCATGTTCATCATCATCACCAGTCAGTGCATCTCTTCGAGGCGAGTTCGAATCCTTGGAGTTTGGGGCGCTTCCTTCATTCTCGGATTGACCAGGTTCTTCAAGTCTCAAGTTGGCCAAGTCCTCCTGGACACGCTGCTCAAGTCCGTCATTCTCCTGGCCAGGTTCCAGCTCAAGATGCTTGACATCTTCAAATATAATTTGACACATGCGAACCATAGCAGCCTCGGCTGTTCTGCGTAGCACTGCTGAGAACCTGGGTTGAGAGCAAATCGCTAAACCGCGACCCATCATGTCGCAGACACTTTCATCGCTTAAAATATGACCACCAGGACCGGACATCATGTCTTCCATAAGATTAAGAATCATCAGAAGAACCACCTCGCCCTGAGATGAATCACTGATATCAAATTGACAATGTGTCACAGCTGCAGAAAGAGATTGCATAGCAAGTGCGAATCTAGGCGAGTCAGAACAGACAAAACCATAAGCCAAGAATTTTCTGAGGGCTCCGAGGGCGAGAATCGTAATAGGAGCTGCAGTCCCTTTGGCTTGGATAACAAGGAGAAAAGGCGCTAGCAACGACGGTGCATCAAACGTGCGAACATCTGAAGGAAGTTAATGAGTGCTTGTGCAATCTCTGACGTTGTCGGCCAAACCTTTGACTGCCGCAATCTCGTGTCGAAGCTTGCCAAAGGCTGCAATCATGGGGTTATCTTGCATGCTCTTTCCCTTCTGCCCACGCAGACCCCATCGGTTGTTTGCAGATGTTGCGTCGTCGGCGTTGTCGGCACCTCCAATGCTTGCAGTCAACGCTTTCTGTCGAGTTTTCAATACAGGGCCGGCTGTACCAAACTGTATTAAATTCGGGTTGCCACCTAGAATCGCTGATACTGAGGAGTGCGGCGATCTAGCATGCTTTTGAACTGCAGAAGTTATTGATATACATTCGGATATGACCAGTGAAATGGGGTCAACGGCGACAGACACCGGTCGGTTGCGATACTGCATCCTCGGAGCATCGTGGTGTAGCGAAGGCGAATTTATTAGTTCAGCGGCGGATTGTCCATCCATTGTACCAGGCAACGGAGCATCGTGGCTCATCTTAATAAACGTGTCTAGTATTTTAGAGCTGAGCATCAGCTTTGTTCATAACTTTGGGAGTTGGTACTTCTTCCAGGAGGCTCATTGTTATCTTACCTCCTCCTACGTCGATATGTGGAGTTCAGAGCGGCGGCAGTACATGTGAACAGGTTCAATATCAATAACTTTCTCGATTAAATCGAATCAATGTTGGCTTGTCGTTGTGGATGTATGTTACGACAGACCTAGGTAGCTTGGACAAGTTGCCTTACAACAGGACGATGTTATTGGAGCTCAAGGCTGTGAGTGCGATGTCGTTAGTCCCCTTGACCTTGGTACACTTGTCCAGTCCGAGTGTCGAATGACCAGCCCCCACCTCTCGTCCCAACCAACCTTCAGCCTTGCACTTGCTTCTGGGTGGTTGTGGGGAGCCCAGGTTACTGTTTGTGCTTGAGGGTGTGATTCCCGGAATTGGGGTTAATCTTTTAACCTTAATTTCGACGCATAATTTAGTATAATATAAGCGCTAGACTTAAATTAATTAAATATAATATATAAATTTAAGTAAAGACCTAATATTTTATATAAATCTTCGTTTATTCTTACTTATAATATATTCAGCTAATAAGAGTAACTTTAATACTTATAAAAGGCTTAATTATTAAGATTTACGTGAAAGCTTTTAAAAATTCTTTATTAAAAATATTAATAATAGCTTTACGTTAATTTCTATTAATTAAGGTAATTAATATTCTTCTTTAAATAAAATAAGCTTACTAATCGAATAATAGCAATAATAATTTAAGGCTTATAATACGTAAAGCTCTTATAAATATAGTAAATACAAGTGTATTATATATTATATTTTATATTATATTATATTTTCGTGTATTATATTTAAATATAATACATTACATTTAAAAAATACCTATAAATGTATTTTAAGTGAAAAAGAGCTAGCCTAGTAAGCACCTTTAACCTATATAATTTAAAATACGCTTTATATAATTATAGGTTATA